ATGAAACCCCATCTCTATCAAAAATACAAAAAAAATTAGTCAGGCGTGGTGGTGCGTGCCTGTGATCCCAGCTACTCGAGAGGCTGAGGTAGGAGGATGACTTGAGCCCAGGAGGCGGAGGTTGCAGTGAGCTGAGATCACACCACAGCATTTCAGCCTGGGTGACAGAATGAGACCCAAAAAATATATATATATATACACACACACACAAAAACATACACACACACACATATGTATATATATACATGTATATACATCAAAGCTTTTTAAAGTACACATTTAAATGATTTAAGTAATTTGTTAAGATACACTAGTATTTGAAATTAACAAAACAAAAACTGCGGAGCCAATAATTCTACACACTGAATTAGTCACTGCAAGAGATTAAGACTTAAAGAGATAGCAGTATCAAACTTTAATGCTCTTACAGTTTGACTCATATTATTCAAACCAACCATAAACACTTCTAATTTTACATACGAAGAAAATGCTTTACATTTATTTTCAGGTTTCTAAAGTATGACCACAAGCTTCTTTGCAGATACTTTTGGCCATGATACAAAGCCAGTATATCACTAAATGTCAATTGTGGTTATCTTTAGATAAGAAATGCAGGTAGTCCCTATTTTTTAGCTGCATCCCTTTAAAGATGGCATCACCCATGCCCCTCAATCCATAGTTTGCATCATCATGAAGGCAAAAGTATTTTACAGTAGAGTATGTGCTTTATGCCGAATCATTTTAAATGAACTCAGAGAAAAACATCTCACCTAGAAAACAAAGACCACCAAAAATAGCCAGTCCTGGCTTTGTAGTGTAATAAAGCTCATACTGTTTGTTGGTGGATTTGGCAGTTGTCTGTATCAGGGGTCCAAAAACTTCCGCCTATGGGCCAATTGGAGCACAGCAACATTCATTCACTTCCTTGTTGTCTACAGCTGCTTTCACACTATAAGAACAGAACTGAAAGTTGTGACAGATCATGTGGTCCATAAAACCTAAAATATTTACTAACTGGCCCTTTACAAAAATAGTTTGCCAACTCCTTCTCCACACAATGAGATGTCAGAAGCACCAGAAGACTTCTCCAAGAACCATCTCCGAAGTACAAAGCAATAAGCCTATGCTTTGGGGTCATCTGGTGGGTGCTAAAACGCACACACACAAACATTTCCCTCAAGTCTCTCTAGTTCCCTATCAATCCAAAGTTGCCAAGGCAAAGTATATGAAGTTACCACTCTTCTCACTGTCCTTACTAGTAAATAACGTTAACTATAAATGGTTGCCTTCTAAAATTCATCTGAACATGGCTTCCACTGCACAAAAAATGTTGTGGAAAGTGGAGGGTGACAAAAGAAGGCCTCCATATGGCATATAATCCAATCCCTGTATCTTCACCCTAGAATCACCTTAGACCTACCTCCCTGTTGAAACATCTCTTCCCCAGAGTTTCTGCCATTTGAATAATCACTGTTAAGAAGTCAGAGAAGCTACTGGGAAAGTGTAGAATTCCAACTAAGGAACACAAAAAAGTGTGAATATATATTTCCTTCCTCACAATCCTTAATCCTGTTAAAGTCAATACTAAATGCAAGCCACAAAAATGTCTACATTTTTTAAGTGCCAAGTTGCTTTTTGTTTTTTAATAAAAAGGTTAAAAGGAAAAAAAAAAAAAAAGCATGTTCAGCACTGCTGTGCCTACACAGGGATATCCCCTCCATTGTATGGGACACAAAGACACACACCAACTGTGAACAAGGGAAGCAGCCTTCTCTGTCAGCTATTTTTGGCCTTACTTCGTCATATTAAGACCAAACGTACGATAATAATGCACAGCGAACTTTAAAAACATGAATTTGAGGAAACAAATCTGTCCTTCTATTTATAAATTCCTTAACAATGAAATTATCATTAAATATGCTCTTCTGAACTTAATCTCAAGGGACCTATATACCCTATCTAAAAAATAAATAAAAACTTTTAGCTTGTTTCAAAAACACAGAATAATATACCCTGGGACTAAACTGGTGGCCATGTTTAAAGCCTGCTCATTCCTTTTTAACTTCAACTCTTATCGACTTCTAAAACATCTATTTTAGGTAGTGTCTCATTCATTCAGATTTTCCCCCTAACTAAAAATACCCACTTTTCAGCTCTTCACTTTCCATCAGTACTCTGGGAAACCTAAATACGTTGAAAATAATTCCAACTTTACATTTTCAGTATATTACCTGCTAAACTATTTTGCTGTTTTGAAACTGCACCAGTATCCAATTGTTGCCCTAAAATTTCACATCCAAAACAAAGTGTACTGTACCATTTCCAAACTCTTTTTTGTAAGAAGTTGCTAGCAACATACTAAGCATCTTCTTTTTCACTCCTCCTTCTGTATAGCCCTTGATAGCCATGACATAATAAAAATGTTGGTTCCCTAGAAAAAGAAAATCCTAATCCAGGCATAACTGCTTTTGCCTAAAATGTAATTTCTCCCCAGTCATCTGAAACTACTCTCTCAGGAACATTCTTCTCAATTGCTTCTTTGAACTGTAATCATGTGTCTACACAAACACAACTGACCCTAACACTACTCAACAACCTCCATCTGTATTCCCTTCAAACCAACTTCATAATTTTATCTGTCCCTTATACCTTCCAATTCCAAGTCTTAAATATGTTGTCTCTACTTGCTCTTTTCTTCCTAAAAGAAACCTTCACAGATTTGGCTTCAACACTTCAATTAGTTCTATATGTACACGTCCAAAAGCAACATCTCCCTAGTGAAAAATGTAAAAACATATTCACATCTATAAGTTGCCAAATAACATCTAACATCTAGTGTGGTCTTAGATAAATATTGGTCTATCGCCCCTCTCCTATAGCTTTGTGCAATTCGTGTTTGATTCTCTCCACCACCACCAAGTAAAAGCATCTCAAAGGCAGGGACCCCAAATAGTTTGTCATTTCTACCCAAACATGCTAAACATTACCATAATTTTTTGGCCCAAACATGCTAAACATTACCATAATTTTTTGGCCAGACGCGGTGGCTCATGCCTGTAATCTCAGCATTTTGGGAGGTCAAAGTGGGTAGATCATTTGAGGCCAGGAGTTCGAGACCAGCCTGACCGACATGGTGAAACCCCATCTCTACTAAAAATACAAAAAAATTAGCCAGGCGTGGTAGTGCATGCCTGTAGTCCCAGCTACTCGGGAGACTGACGCAGGAGAATCGCTTGAATCTGGGAGGCAGAGAGGTTGCAGTGAGCTGAGATCGCTCCATTGCACTCCGGCCTGGGTGACAGGGCAAGACTGTGTCTCAAAAAAAAAAAAAAAAAAATTACCATAATTTTTAACCAATCTATAGTTAAAGCAATAAAAGTAGGTCCTAAAGTTAGTAAGCAACTTTGACAGAGCACAACCTACATTACCTACATTCAAACTATAGTTTGTTTCTCAGTTTGTCCTCCCCTCCGTCCCAAAACACAGCTTCTACATGACTACATTTCTCTTTATCATATCTTTGTGAAAAACGGAATACGTGACTCTGATTCTAAGTCTAACATTACATCCACTATTCAGTATTTTCATGTCAGTACACATTTAAAAGAATTTAAAGTTCCTTACCAAAGCATAACAAGGCAACTAAAGAAAAACAATTCAGTGGGAGAAGTTTCAGAGGAGGGAAAAGTGGTCAAAGAAATGAAAGACATTATTCTAAGACAAGAGTTGGAGAAAATGACGGTAGAAATAATGAAAGTCTATAAAATTAAGAAAAGATAAACTGAGGCTTGTCCTGGTATTTCTTGAAATATAAACTCTGTGTCCTGAAAATTTAGGGACACAGGTACGGAATATGTAAATGAATTGTCACATAATACACAGGCTAATAAACTTGCAGAACTCATTACTTTAAAAAAAAAAAAACAAACATTGTTAAGTTTGAGAAAGTTTTAAATTAATCTAATCAAGATCCTGAATGGAGAACTTCGAATAGAGAGATAACCCCAGGCTTACATTCATTCCCACAAAGCATCTCTCAGCAGTGGCTTCAGACAGAACGAGCCCAGAGTTGTCTAGATGGACCACAATTCTCAGTATAGTACTGCCTATGCCTTCCTACATAAAATCCTGCTCTATGTTTAACCCTTAAGGTCTGTACATGAAATGTTAATTACTTTCATGAACCTTTAACTTGGCACTCTGACAAGATACCTAAAATACAAGTCAAAGGTTTTATAAACTTCAACTTTAAAATAATGGAAAGAAAAAATCATTCCTGACTTAAATATCAAAGGTGTATCCTAAATTGATACAGAAATAAAGATAATTCAAAAGAGCAAAGCCTCAAACCAAATAAAAAAGTCCTCAAACCAAATAAAAAAGTGTTGTCATTTGTTACTCTAAAAAAAAAAAGGGGGGGGTGAAGGGAAAAAAAATCACAACTTTTATAAAATGATTAATGTGATAAATGCTCTTCCCCAAAAAAGTTGTGATTCCTGAGAACTCAAGTTCCTGAATAACTGACATCTGTTACAGTGTCCTCCTAACACACATGAATTGGATCCAGGAACTGAGAAGCTTAACTCCTGTACCAATAGGTACTGAAATGAACCTCTCTCAGGACTGGCTTTTGGTTTTGTTTTGTTTAAAAAAAAAAACAAAGAGATTTTACTTTCAGGGGTCCACAGGGTAAGTGGTTCTCACTCGGGAACCTATATGAGAGTACCCCAGAAACAAAAAGTAAACCGCACACACCCACAGTACCAGGAAAAGTTTACAGATACAGATGGCCTCTGTGCACACATATGCTCTGGCTTCCTCAATTTCCCTTTGCCAACTACTGGCCAGAAAGGTGCGAGTATTCACTCTGGAGAAAGAACTCCTCCAAGTAAAACCTGCATACTTGCATTACTCGTACAAAGAGCTAAAAAGTCACAAAATACAGGCCTCTCTAACACCTTTCCCCCTCTGTGAATAAAGCTAGACCCTCTCATTGATAGACTCCCAACACTACTGGAGAACATCAGCAAAACTCCAGGAGGAAGCGCCGGCATCCTCCCACTTTCTCCCCCTCAATCCCCTCTCCCGGGGCCACTCACACTTTTAGAGAAGAGCCGCGGCGCCGAGAAAGTGAGTTGGTTCCCTTCCTCCTTCGGACTGAGGCGGCAGCTGCGGAAGGCTCCGGCGCGGTACTGAGGTTGAAGCGGTGCTCGTGTCGCTAAACCAGGCGGCCACCCGGGTCTCTTCCGTGCTGCCAGGGGAGAGGAGGCGGCGGCCCCGCTTACCTCCTCTTTTCCTCTTCCTGGGTCTTTTCAGGCTGCGGCTTCTGCCCGTCCAGGGCCACTTGTCCCGGGACAGTCAGGTTTGGGAGACTCCGAATTTTGTTTTTGTAAAGTTTCCTCTGGGTGGAGGCTGCAGCCGGCCCCCCGGGTCCCCCCCGGCCCCGCCGCCCTCGGGACTGGGGCGGGGGAGGGGGGCTCTAAGAACTCCTCCCGGAGTCCAGCCAAGGAGCCGGGGGGCCGGCGACTGGCCAAGGGAGAAGACCCCCGGAGGGGGCTGAGGGGAGGGGAAAGGTGAGGAAAGGACGGCGGCGTCGGTCCTGCTCTCTCCGCCGCCCCAGCCGCAGCTTCACATCGG